AAACATTCCCCTGACTGAGTTAGCAATTTTAAGTGGCCATCCGTTGGTGTCTGTTGCTGTTTTCACTACAAAACTCATATGTCTCGCTTCCCCTTTTCCCGCTTTTCCATTTTCCCTGCCCCTTTCCACCCCGCCATGCATGCATTTTGTCTCGCCCGGCGGAAATTTGTTTGCACCGAAGTGATTTCTGGGGTTTCGAGGATGGGGGACTTTGGAAAAGGAAATGGATCCGTGTTTCGCAGCCATCAGCAATCTGCAATCCCCTCGGCAGCAGAGACACGACGGCTAACAAGGCCTAATGAAATTTCCATATGTGAGCCAATTTGCAGGAATTCGTTCAAGAATTAATTGACATTCGAAAATACACTTACGGATGGTCAAAATGAAGAACTGTTTGCCCTATTTTTAATCAGAGAGGAAATTAAATGAGACTAATCAACTGTCTAATCGATTTAATTAAAATTCAGAGATAGCTCTTATGTTGCGATTGTGGAGAAAGCTTAGAGAAGTAAGAACAATTGGTAGGATATCTTTTCACGTAGTTAAAAGATATATTTTAAAAAATTTTAAATATTTTTTTAAGGAACCATAATAAAAGGTTTCTGACACTTTAAGATTGTTTAAGATGCCACAGGAATATCTTAAGATTCTTTTCAAAAGATATGGGATATATTGTGCCAAGTATTATAATAGGATTACTTCAAATGTACCTATTTCAAAACATGTTGATGCTTAAAGGAGATATCACCAAAACAATCAGCTAAATATATTCAAGATCTTAATAGCTGTCCCCTACAAGCCCCAAAAAACCCCAATGTTTTCAAACCCCCATCGTTTTTCGAAGGACTCACCTTTCTCCTGCAGTTGCTGCCGCTTTATGTCGCCTTTGAGCACTTCCGCCGTGTGAACCAGTTCGTTGAGCTGCGGCTTTTTCATTTTCAATTCACGCAGAACTTTCTGTGGACAGAGGGGGAGATATGGGAGATATGTGAGAAAAGTGGATATGGGTGTGAACTGGGATGAGTGTCTTTTATACGGCGCACCTCCTGCTTCTCGATGGCCAGTCGCACTGCATCGCCATCGTCGACGAGCACGCTCTGTATCTTGATCATGTTTTGTTCCCAAGTCAGCCAGTCGGAAATTTGCAGCACCGACTTATCGAAGCTGCCGGCCAACGCTCCAGTCCCGCTCGGCTCGTTATTGTATTCTGCAAGAGGAAAAAAAATGGGACAAATTGAAATGGGTTTGGAGAAAGGAAAAAGTGTTGGGGGAAACTTCTTGCTAATTAGCGTGTCCTTTTAACCAGTCCCCCTCACAGGAGATTGTGTGTCACTACCACTAGTGATGGACTACTCATTAAATCGCACCAGCTGCGGTTTTGACTTTTCCTGACTGACCACTACTTGGTGGCATACTTATCGGGGTCACTGTAGCTGCATATTGAATTCTAGATTTGCCCTCTCGTCCCTTTTTCATTTATCTGTTTTTCTTTCTTTCTTTCTTTCTGGTGTTTTTCCCACTCCTCTCTTGACTTTGTTGCACATTTCAGCAAAAGGCAAGTAAATGAAAAACTATTTCAATGAAGCAAAAGTTCTGAGTGTCTTGGTTGATAGATGTACAGTGGAATAAGTATGACTTTGGCGAATAAAATACAATTTTCTGTAATATGTATGATAAAATAATGTAATAAATAATAAAAGAAATCGTTATATCACGGTTTTATAATATGATATCATCAAAAGTGCCTATTAGAGTATACATCGATATTTAAAAGCAAGGCCACCAATAAAATCAGATAAATATTTTAAAGAAATAGAACATACTTTGCCTAGTATTTACAAAAATAGAAGTTGTTTTAGCTTAACTTAAAGCCAATGATTAGAATTACAATGTAAACATCCATTTTTTATCAATTGTAATAAAGGAACAACCTGAAAAATAATAATATTTTACCTATTCAACATTAAGTTACCACATATTCTCTTCATTATTTAGGAACCCCTCTATAATCTTAAACTGATGGCAAAGCAATGACATAGAATAACAATAATCTAAGTTTTAAGAGTGTGGAGCACATAATAATATTATTCCAACCCCTCCATCAAAGTTCGTTCCCCTCGCATTATTTTCCCAGCTTTCCCCTAACTTTCTTCTATTAAATGGCAATTTTCAATTGCAGCCCATTCAGAGCAAACCATGGTGCAAATATTTCAGAACTTGAAAAAGCAAAGGGGAAACACTTGAAATACTTGAGCAAAAAAGAGTCGAAAGGAAAATGTAAAGAAAAGCTTAAGTAGGCGCAGAGCAAAGGAACCGAAAGGGAACAAGAAAAAAAGGAGCAGGTGGATGGAGGCGGAGGAGGTCCTTCTGACAGTTATGAAAGTTTCTACAGGCCTGAGTTTGCCAATAATCCGTGAAAACAAAACCAAAACAAACTAAACCGAAAGAGAAGGGACACATTGGCTTTTTTTCTTTTTTCTGCTGTTTTGGTTTGTAGTTTTCGCAGTGTCCCTCGCAGGATTAGGCCGGTCTGCAAGGACAGGGGATTTGGGCGACAAATGCCAAGTCCAAGGAGGACAGCTAAAACTGTTCTGGCCACCAACGAGATTCAGGATTCAGGACTCAGGACGCAGGACACGGAACGCAGGCCGTGTCAAGTTGAGGCGTCTGAAAGCATTTACAGTGAGTGAACGACTGAATGGATGAGAGTTCCCAGCTCACAAGAAGCTGTTAAGCAAATATATACACTTGGAAAAAATATTTTTCAAAAGGAGTATAATATTCTCCTATTATTAAATAAATTAAATATGTTTAAAAACAGTCGTATTAATATATTGAATTATTTTTTAACTTGTTTTTAACATTGCCGTAATACTCTAGCTTGCGGTCCTGACACCCAAAATTCGCAAAAAATTATCCTCAACGGTCCGCGAATTCTTAGGAATTTAGATGAAGGAATAATGCGACGGTCTGCCACGGTTCTCTTGTAATCGAATTTTAAAGTTTAAAGATATAAAAATAAAGTATCCATTTCTTAATAAATTGATTTCAGAACTTCAAATATTTGATATATTTTTATACTAAATAAAATTTTAAATTTACTGAAAAGAATGAAAAATAGTGGTTAATAGGGATGGAAAAACTTAAATGTAAATTGTGGTATTTAACGATAATTCACAATCATTTTATTTAATTTTGCATTTTTTTCAGTGGAAAGGGAATAATAACATCTCTGACAACCACACACATGGTCGGAAAACACGGTGAAGTAGCAGTGGAAACACGTTAAGTGTAAAATTTCTTTTCACTCATTCTGATGAATGTTCCACGTAGGCTCCAAGCACACACACCCCTTTGGCTTTGTGTTGTGGCATTCACGGGACAGGTGAAAAGTGGTAGAAAATATCATATAAAATAAAAAAAAATAAAACACAGAAAAGGAAAAGCAGCGCTGATAACATTCCCTCCATTTTTCTTCCTCTTACACGCCCACTTCCACCGTTAAAAGTAAACGGGCCCTACCAGGAAAATGTCATAATTCATTAAAAGCCAAAGAAAGCGTGAAATTCTGGACTGCTTCTTCCCCACACTTCCTTTCGATTGTCACTCAACTGAGAACCGTCTTCCTTTCCCCTGTTTTAGAGAAAGTCCAGGAAGGACTTTAAGTAAAACACAGTGACATCTTGGCGGAAAGGAAAGTCGTTTAAAGTTTCCATTTTATGTGATGGATGACCTTCATGGGTTTTAATTTTATGGAGGTTTATTTGGTTGTTAATATTCCGAGGATATCATTGGCCTTTGGTATTTACCCGAAAGAAATCCTTTTTGGGGCTATTATCGTAAGCTACAGTTATTAACTTTTAAAGCAGCACATTAACTAGTCTTTATATGGTGCACTTTTCAGTTTATATTTTAACGGTAATATTCCGCATTAAGGTATTAACGTTTCAAAAACCAGCTTTGCTTTTAATTTCAATATATTTTTCTAAATATCTAGTATTTTAAAAGTAAAGTTACTTTATTCCACACTGCATTTTGTTAATTATTATTTAGTAATAATAAAAATAATCTTTTTTATGACTGATTTCAAATTATCACTTCCACATTAGAGACTTGTTTACTTCCTTGCCGCTGAACGATTTATTTTAAAATGCTTCCTTGTTTGTGACCAACAGCTGATTAAAACGGACAAATTCAAAAGCTTTAAGAAAGTTCAGGACGACTGCAGGAAGTAAGCTTAGAAAAAGCATTGCCTTCCAAACACCCAAGCCCAAAACAAATTTATCTAAATGGTACTTTCAAATATAAGTAAAATTTTATATACAATTTTAAGCATTTTTCAGTCTACACTTAAGTTTACAAAAAACAACATATTTAAAACAAAGTACTTGTAGATTTCAAATTATATTTAAATTAATTTAATTTTCGTCTATTTTTTATTTTATCCATTTTTGTTCTTCTCTGCTCCCATACTTTTATAAAGCTAAAAAATTTGAATATTTTTGAATCTTTATGAAATGTTAAGATGCTACGTTTTTTAACCAAAATGTTAAGATTTTCTTAACAGTGCTGTTAGATTTTGATACATCTTAACAATGCTGTTAGAAAATCAGAATTTTTTCGGTCTGGCAACGATTGATACTTTTAATTTCTGAGAAATTTTAAAATATGGTTTGTGTCTAGGAAAATCTTATTTTATACAGAAACTTTAACGTTTTCTAACGAAATGTTAAGGTTTTTCTCAGAGCCCTGTTGTTAGCAGACACCTTAAGCGGGGACTCCTTCCCTAAAAGCCAAGACACTTCCCTAGACAGCATATAGAAATTTAAAATAGGTTTCCGTCCAGGCTAAAACAGCGACATCTATTGGAATTCCGAAAGACTAAAAATAGTTTATTATCCGTCATCTTTTGTCATGCCTCAAAGAATTGCTCTAAAACTGTAGTAATTATAAAAGACCATCTAGTTCTGTATTAGTTATTTGTCATTTTGGTGAAATTTTCCCCTAGAAAACAAACTAACTAACACCAACCCCACATCAATAAAATAAAAAACTCTTCTTTTTAATAAATAAAACTCATAAACAATGAAAAAGTCGCACGAAGAACTAAACAAAACACCCAACGTCACGGGCATTGCTCCGACGACCAATTCGGCGATGCATGGTAAATCTAAAAGGAGGGAGTTCACTCCGTTTTCAAGGCTAAACAGACTGAAATTCAAATCCACGGAAGCGTTACCGATCGCTACCAGGGACTATGGATTAATGCGATCTACAAACAAGTCATCGACTCCATTTCCACGAGCCGATCAAGGGGTAGATGCCAATTTACTGAAGGCTCGTCTCAATATGCGTCGGGATTACGAGAATAGGCGACATGAACCATTCTCTAGTTTACCGAAAAAGACCGACAGCCCTAGTATCAGTGATGCGGAGTCCCATGATTATGATCACTTCACCATGCGTCAAAACTCAAGGGTATGTATGTCCTTAATTTAAATATTAATAAAATATATTCCCAAGCTTCAAACTATTCCAAAATGTTATATACAAATCATTTACAAGAGCAAATAGTTAGTTAATTATGAAATCAATTAAACCCTACAATCATTGGTACTTTAGTATACACCTGGACTAAGAACCTTACATATGCTAGAAATACTTTCTGTATTGTCTGTTTCGGATACGATTTCAATTTAGCAGCTCTTTAAAATGTATAGGTTGACGTTTTACTTAAGAACCTAAAAACCATGCTCGAAATATTATAAAAATGAATCAGTTTATACTTAGATACCTCTATTTTTTAGCCCTCGGTCAGCGTTTTTCGACGCCAATCGCTTACTAAAGACAATTACAAGGAAATATTGTCCCTCGGCACCCCACATCCCAAAAAAGGTGTAGCCCTGAATGCCAAGGTGCTGACCAGGCGACTGACCGACATAAATGGTCAGCTCAAGATGCAACGAGTGCCTAGCCAACAGTCTGAAGTAAGTCCCCCTCATCGGCATCTAAGGCCAAAGAAAAGGAAGGTCCTACTGTCGGTTAACGCCGACAGTCAGGCCTCGCTAATACCACCCAAAGATTCGCCAGTTGGAGAGCGAGTCAGTCAGACTTTGAGCCGGCGATTGACCCAAATGGACTACGATGCCTCGCAAAGTTCGCTGAGCGGGGAGTTCCAGGAGCCGGAGATCAGCTTTGCGGAGCGTCGAAGGATATTTCATGAGGGCGAGTTCACCATTGCGAAATACGGCCGGAAAATGAGCGATGTGATGATGGCGGCCCCGGCGGCTACTGAAGAGGTGCTCGACAATAGTATGCAATACGCCCAGAAGGCCAAAGAGGAGTTGGAGACCTATATGAGATCGCAGGGTCTGATCAAGATCTCCAACGATCAGGTCACTATGACCCGGAACATGACCCGTGGGTCTGCGGCAGCAAGCCCTACGGGATCGGCTGATATGGCTCGGGAGAAACGTTTTAGTCAAAAAACTAAGCCAGTCACACCTCAAGCCCAAACCCAAAATGATTTAATGTATCTTGGCTAGCAGGATTGCCGGAGGATGATCGTTTTAGTCACCTCCAGTAATTCGGCTAGTTAGAGGAACAAGATTTCGTTGTGATATTCGAGATGTTTTGGAGAATGTATTGTGAAAAATTTTGGTCAACTTCATTCACTCAATACATATTATAAACTCTAAGTCTCTCTTACTATAGCTTTGAACCATTTTAGGTGCAATTATTAATCAGATGAACAATATTTCTGGGAATATTTATAAAGTACATTAAAATATAAAGTTTTTTTTATTAATATAATTTATTTTACGCGGGTAAGGACAAGAAATAATGTATCTTTTAGTAGATTTTTTAATAAAAATCAATTTTCCCCCCTTTAACTTTCCTACCAACAAAATCAACTATATGTGGCATGCGAAATATTCAAAAACATATGTCTGCATCTGCTATGAAAACAAGAAACCGGGTCTACAACATGGGGGAAAGCCACCCACCTCCCATAGGGAAAGTCAACACCAAGAACATTCACATAAAATGTCAAAAGTGCCATTGACATGGTACATTTGTTATCTGGGTGCCCTTTTTCCTATAAAAATATAAACAAAAAACGGAAGTAGATCAGGCTAGAAAAAAGGAATAACATATACATAGATGCCAAGTGTTTTTTCAATAATTAAAAACACAGAGATCAATGATAAACTTTTAACAAGATGGATCTTTGCTTTTGAAACTTTTCTTGTTAAAGTGCATATCAAAACTCGAACCGCAAAATGTAAATCAATACACAGTTCAAATAAAAGTACACAAAACCCATAACACAAACAAAATTACAATGCGGAAAAAAGCTTGTACGTGCTGTTTCAAGAGTTTTTGCTTTTTGAATATATACATTCGATTTAAGTTTTTTTATTCGGCAAATGCTTAAATGATTTTGGCTGCGAAAACAGAGACAGTGGATGCATGGGAAACATTATTAAATTTCAATAATGGAATTATTTTTGCTTTATATGAAGCACTAGAATTTCAATTGGATTTAGAATGATTAATTGAATATCTGACAATTTTGTATCCTTCATATAGAATGAAAAACTAGCATATGTATTAATCAGATTATAGTAATTAAATCAAGTACATAAATTTAAATTCCTGATATTGCCATGTCGAAATATTAATCAGTATTACTGTCCTCGTCTAATTTATCTGATTAAACCCATAATTTTATCCATCTAACTCACATTTAAATGGTCTCCTAGATAGGCAATAAATGTGTAATTGCCGATTAAATAAATGATTGCACTTTTCCACACAGCCTGACAGCCTTCAATAAAATACCTTCTGCTAGGATAAACACACTCAAATGGTCCTCATCCTTTAAGTTGAGCCACTTGACCAAGTCAACTCTGCCTGCTTGTCTACATTTAAGCAGTCCACTCGAGCGGAAACCAAACAATTGAAAGCCATCCAACTTGCCGACAATCAACAAGAACATTACCCGGCATTTTGGGCTAGAAAGGATGCGATCTCACTAAGCTCCCGAAATAAAAGACTATTACAAACAATTGAGTGGGTGAGCTTACCCGAACGACAGCTGATGGTGGCCGCGCTGGATGCATCTGGACGCTCCTTGCCATTGGGTATCCGGGGGCCATTTCTCAGTTCCGTCAGCGAGAGCTCAATGGAATCCGCATGAGCTATCAAATTGTTTTTCGTCTGCAAAAGGGCAAGGCATCCGCAATGTAAGAGTTCAATTGAGAAGCAAAGTGTGCGGACAAACCTTTTCGATTTCGTTCATCATGAGGGGCGTGACCTTCGGCATCTGGGCGTTCTTGCCGATGGCGCTGACAATCACCTGTAAATCGTCGTGCCGCTCCTGCAATAAAATAAATCATATAAAAAATATCTTAAACAGAAATACTGATATCCCTACACAGAGAGAAATATTCAAGTACATGGTTCTTGAATTGAGAACAATTGATCTTAAAAATCGTGAAAGTAAATTTTAGTATAAATGTTCTTAATATTAGATCGAAATGCTGGGAGGAGAAAAGTTAAATTGAGTTATTTTAACAACGTTTTGATAAGTATACACTACTGACTGCACTCATAGTTTATTTGTTCAGATATACAATAAAATGAAAACATTTTCAACGACAAAAATGTGGTTCTGTTTTAAAGAACATTTTCAACTTAGATAAGAATGTCAGAATTTTCTCTGTGTAGAAATAACAAGATACAGCTTTGCTTAAATTAATTTTAAATTAAGCTTTTATATTTTTATATGGTTGTGTCTGATTATGCTTTTCTTACAAGCCTTCATACTGTTTGTCAAATTTATCACATGTCATTTTGAGATTTCAAAATTTCTCACTTGACAAAAGTTTGATGCAACAATGCCATTTTCTAAAAATAATAAAATATAAGCAAGTGGTTTATTTTGATGCCAGAATAATATATTATGCATAACAAATTTAAGTTCATGTCTGGTAAAAAATTTGTTAATTTGGAGTCAAATTGGATAAAATGCTTGAAGCTAGGGTCAGACGATCCAATTTTTTAATCAAATTTATCTAGGATTGACATAAAATTACATAGAAAAAATATTATTTCGGTTTAAGAGTAGATACTTTTGTTCAAACATTTGATTGTCTGACAGTAAAAATAATATTTTATGTGAAATTTTTAGTATACAAGTGTATTTATCATGAACAAAAAAAATGTTCCTGTAATTTAAGTACAGCTGAGCCCTCGCACATTGCAGAATATTCAATGATAAAGGAAACCTTTTAAGGTTTAAAGGAAAACGCAGTAAAGTAGATATAAAATGCATTCGATACTCTTGAGGTGCGAAAGGTGAACAATAAATAGCAGGCTTTAAGCGGAAACGGAAGCCGAACGAAAACACATACACGAGCGAACAAAATGGCCACCGCTTGGGAAAGGAGCTGCTGCCAACGGCGATTGGAATTCAATTTCCACTGCAATCATGCAGGACTCTCTCTGGGAAAAGAACAAATGAAGGTGGTGCGGGATTGGGTGGGGAGGGGTATGAAAAACCCTACCACCTCTTTCACGGCGTTTGTCAACCAACAAAATTGCATTTGTGGGTGGTCAATGTAGCGCGATGCAAACTGTTGCAGTTGCAGCTGACGAACTGATTTTTGCTGCCGAATTTTCGCTTCGCGCCAAACTGAATTTTCCGCAAATTTACAATCAATCACCGGGCGAACAAAGAAGTGCACACACGCTCTTCAAAATAAAAAGGGAAATTTTAAAGCTCTGCAACCGCTGGCCAAACGAGACGGTACGCGACTAAGGTGGCGCAAACAAAAAATGAAGGAAAATAATAACAAAAGCCCTCATTTCGCCGGCAAAGAGAAGAATTTACATGTTTGCCCCTCTTCGAAATTAGTTTTTCCCATTTTCTTTAATTTTCCCCCCGAATTTTGGCTCTCTTTCTATTTCTCCGCCTCTCAAAATAAATTCAAAATGTTTTCTATTTTTGATTTCATTTTTCGCTTTTTTAGAATCACTGGCGTTTGTCGCCAGCTCGCTGGTGCCATAAAATCAAACAAAAAGCGGAATAAATAAAATATAAAAATAAAAATAAACAACAAATGATTGCAGTGATTAATGACTGTTGTCTAGGGATGGAACTTGTTGAAAATGTAAGATTTATCATATGCTCTGTAACCAGGAGCACAAAAAGCTTCCTTTTTTACTAGTTTTTTTTTTTGGTAAATGTGTCACTTGGAAAAAGTTGTCCTAACTTTTTTGCATTTGGCCTGGAGCGAATTTTTTTTTACACTTCTTGAATGGCTTTCTATTTCATTGATTTTTAAAATTTCTCTGCAGTTTTTGGTATTTACTTAGTTTTATAATAACAGTGCACATTAATTTTGAGGCGAAAACATTCTTAGTCTAAGTTTTGACAAGAAAAAAATTAAAATTCCCATTCAAAATGACACTAGCTATTAAAAATGTTCATGTTTTTAATACGTTGTAAAATTGCACAGAAATATGTTCATAATTTAATAGAACATGACAACCTATCGTCCAACCCTTCATAAAGACAGCATCATCATAGAAAAAAGTCTCTTAAGATCTCTCTTACTCCTACGATCTCTTCTGACCCACTGAATACCATGATCACTGGCGAGTCCCTCACTCTTCAGCATCCCAACTGCAAGCAGATGTGTAACTGTGTCAGCTCTGTTTATTTTTGGTCTTCTAATGGACCCATTTAGCTTCTGTGCCACTGCTTATATATGCATCGAAATTCTCAAGAGGGCAATTAACTTGCGGCAAAGGAAACGAGCGAGTATCGACGAAAGATGTGACGCCTTCTTACAATGTCCAAGCGAATGACTAATTGCGGCGATTAAATAAAAATGATTTAATTGTAGTTTTGCACAGGTAATTTGGCTTTGACTTCCCGCCACTGCCAGACGTTGGCAACGTATTCTGGCCATTTGCCAGATTTTTAGTCGCACTTACGTTGATATCCTCCATGCGCTTCTCAAGATCACTGCTAGACTTCAGATCGACAGTCTTTTCTATGAGAACATTGATGCGACGCAGCCCCTTGGTGACCAGTTCTTCGATATTCACGCTGTCTAATGGTGGAGCTGGTGCCCCACTTCCCGAGGTCTTGGATCTGTGGGGAAATAATCTCATTAAGTAAAAGGAATCCATGAAAATTCCTTAAGTTCCATCATACCTCGCCTGCTGCACTTCCCGAAACTGCTCGCGCAGTATGATTTGAGTGCGCATCACCAGACGAGAAATGCTACCCTGTCTTCCATGGGTTTCCAGAACCAAGGAGTCACCCTGGGATATCAAGGTGGCCGCATCGGGTGCTATTAGAAGCCGCAGATCCTCTCTGAAAATAAGATAAGATTTGTTCGAGTTCTTAATACGGCACCTTTTTTCTCATATTGTTGTGAATGCTACATGTTAAATTTCCTTTACAGAGTATGCAAAACGCTGACTCAATAGCTGGCTGATTTCTCATCTTTATGGTAATTTAACAAAGTTATACAAGTACAAAAACTTAAAAACGAAATTTGCTTGTTATAATTTACAACGCTTCACACAGAAAATATTACGGCACCTTTAGAGTGACCAGCTCACTTAAGTATAGATCTTATTTTAGTATTTTATTGCGTAATTGCAATCAAG